AAATATCAGCAGCGTCTAATTTCCAGATTTGCTACTCTGTATCCCATTTGCCAATAACTTTTCATTTTTTGTATTTCAGTATTTGTTCTAATGTAAATGACACTAATTACTCTGAACAGGCATAAGCCCCATAAATACAAAATTGCAGAAAGATCACAAATTTAAGATAGAGATGCTTAGCCATACAGACTTAAAAATACCAGTTGGAACCAGCAACTAACCATTTTGCTTTATTTTTTGCCTCAGTATCTATAAGGTTGCATGTTCTTCTCTAGTTAGTCTGCACTACCTTAATTCTCTCTAAAGAGAAATCACATTTTATTTATCAGAGACACAATAAAAGGATCTTTGTAAAGTTCTGAGAAAGGATTACTGAAATACTGGGTTTCTAAGCAATGCAGTTTTTAGTACATCTTCACTAATTTTTCTTTAAAATGCTGCATTACAGCCTTAACCATCCAACCTTAATCTTCCTTCATTTAAATGTAAGAACCTGTAAAAACTTCAGAAAAAAATTACACACAGTCAAGTAATGGAAAAAACCAATTAAAACTCTTCCTAAGTGTTGCATTTTCTCCAAGTGAGAGTGTTCACAGGTACAAATGGCAGTTTTGACTTACCAAGGAATTAGGATCCTTTGGGTATAAATTCCTTCCAGGTCTTTCAGAACTTAAAGTGGTATTTCTAATGCCACTATATGTAGGCTAATTGTGGAAAGAAGATTTTTATTTCAGTTCTCAAAGCTTGTGTCTTTCTTTCTCCCTATGTTAATTATGAGATGATGAAGAAGAAAAGGTTGCTAGTCCAATGTCATCACCTGCACTATTTTTATGGCCATTTTAGCCTATGTTAAGATGGACAGTGTGTCTGTCTGCTGACGGACTAAACAGTTAAAAATACAAGCTGTTAAAAAGACAAAAAACAACCACCTAAATAAGTAAACCACCATCTCAATAACTAAAACCTTGATTTTATGGAAAGGTGAATCTTTTAGGTGTCTTTCATTGCA